ACTGTAAAAAAAAGGTGGGGGCGTGCATTTGGTGACAACCTTCAACAAAACTGATGCATTTACTCACTCTCTGGAGTAATAATTATGTTTTTTAGTGTTTATACTTTTTTTGGTGATGGTTCAGGAAAAGGATTCTATAAGCATCAATGAAAGAATCAATCAAACTGTGCACATAATTGTTCTAGAATTTTTGGCCCTTTGGGCAATACAAAACAATTATATTGCCTTTATCAATGGAAAGTATTCTAACTAGGAAATGAAGACACTACAGAGCTAACACACTTAAGAAGTAGTTGAAGAGCTAAGTCCTTATACAAATATTTTTGGGGACGCCTAGTGACTCAGTCGGTTAAGCGTCTGACTCTTGGTTTCTGTTCAGGTCATGATCTCAGGGTCATGGATGGAGCTCAGCTTTGGGCTCCCCGCTCAGAAGGGCGTTGGCCTGAGGATTCTCTCTCCCTCTCCCTCTGCCTCTACCTGCCCCCTTGTTTGCTCTCTCTCTCAAATAAATAAATAAATCTTAAAAAAAAAAAATTCAAAATATTCGCTTTCACATGTTGAGAAATACCAGGAATTTGTTTTCTGAGCCTGTGAATTAAAAAATGAAAAGGGTCCTATCTTCATAAAGCTTTCAGGTTTCAGTATTTACAGTCCCTCCTTAAGGAAAATTAAAGTAGAAGAACTAAATGATTTTCTGAAGCATTAAAATACACATGCACTGGAAAATGATTTGTTTCAATGCAAACTTTATATCTTGGTGAATCATTTCCATTTGAGTGTTTTGATTGCAGTTTCCCCACTATGGGGCATAAATGAGATTACTGGCTTGGAGGAGTGGGGAGGTAATTAGCCTACCTCCTATCAAGCCATCTGTATTTTCTGTGACTGCACAAGGTGTTGTAGAGAAATTACCTGGAACTGATTAAACCTCAGGAGAAGTGGGGGAAATTCTGCATGCCAGAGTGGTTCTGCCAGAGAACACGATCGCCCTCTGGGTTGCATTTCCAAGCACAATTTGGTGACGCAACTCTGACCACTTCGCCACCAGGGAATAAGAGGAAAGGGGCCGGATTCCTCCCTAGGAAGACGACCTGGACCAAAGAAAGAGGCTGGCGACGGGAAGGAAGACCAGATCAAGCCTTTGAATAGCGTCCACAGGGCAACCCAAAGCCCGTACAGAGTTAACAGGCACGGGTCACACACTGTCCCCCCTCCCCCTCCCCAACTCCCCCTACCCCATCCACCCGCCGCTGTGTGTCACCTTCCTGTTCGGAAGTCTTAGTAGGTTGCTGGGACAGAACTGGGGGCGCCTGCTCCACCCTTCAGGTATCCGGTTGGAAGAAAAGCCAGTCTCAACAACTTGAGTCTCTACGTTAAATGATAAGTTTAGCAGACCGTCCGTCTCCAACTGCTGAACATTAGGGTAGGGGGAGGAAGGAGAACATCAGACGTTCCTTTTCTGTTCCAACCACAAATCATACGGTTGTGCCTCTTCTCTATTCCTGTTAGAGCCCTCTAACTTGAATTCCACGTTCCTTCTGGAATGCACGTGACAGAGCATCTTTGAAAATATGAAGGCTCTGCATGTGTTTTGAATTTTTTCTGGATTGATTTGTAACGATAATCAGTCAAGTTACATTTCTTGTGTGTCTTGCTGGGGGTGTAATAAAGTCAGGACGCTGAGTACTGTAATTTTCTGAGTGATGTTGCAATGGAGAGAATAAATGGCCCAGTGTTGAACTTTGCAGCTCGCTCCCTTCCTGTATGTAAATTGCCTTCATATAAAGTGGGGTGCCTAACAGAGGACGGCTGCCTCTGACTCTTCTGCTCCCTGTCATCTCAGTTTTCAGCCTTATCAGGCACATAGCAGGGAGGCTGTTCCAACCATAACTGAGCTCTACCTCCAACCTCCAGAAAGTAATCCCCAACCTTCATATCCTAGGCAACCTGAAGAATGAAAGAGGAAGCTCTAAAATCCCCTTTGAAAGGTTTGTGTACTTTTATTACTTTAATTCAGAGGGAATGGGTAAAAGGAAGATACTTTAGAGGATCTGAGGTTTCTGGGCCTGGGGAAGGCACAAGAGGTGGGGATGCAGTGGGCGGGGGTGGGGGGGTCGTCTGATGGAAGGTTTCTCAGCTTCATGGTTTAAGACCAAACAAGCAGAAATCTTGGTGCAGGCTGGTGTTTCTGTGCAGTCTTTGCAAAATTTGCTCTCTTTTCTTTTTATTAAGCGCAATTAGCCAACAGATTAGGTTTTGATGTAGTGATCAGTGATTCACGGGTTGCGTATAACACCCAATGCAAATTTGCTGGCTTAAAACAGGGCTACATGGTGTGGGAGCAGGGACTGGCTGGGCTAGTTGAAGTGGAACACGGAGTATGGGGGCCATCAGCAGTAACAAAGTCGTATTATTTGAAGAATCCATGGAAGAGGAAGCAGTAATGGGCCAGTTACTGTGATTTGAAGTTTCCTAAACCCTGCCTGAGGTTGGAGCGTCAATTTCAGGTACCTGAGAAGTGCTTTTTTAGGTGGGTGCTGAGCAACATTTCCCAGCCACTCTCCAGGAGAGATGATGTGTGTTCCCTTCTCCCAGTCTGGAGCTGTTGCAACTGAGCAAACCAAGAAGCAGCTGAGGCTACAGATCATATTAGGGCAAATGAGGTGGTTGTGCCTGCAAAACAAATCCCTGCCCAGGACGAAAGAAAACCCGCTTCACAGGCTATTCTTGGTTTGACAGCTGGTGTTTCAGAGGGTGTCAGACCCAGTATGCAACTCCAAGGATGGCAGGGCCCTTGACAGTCAGGGGTCACGGCAGGGCAGGCCACCGCAGACAGCACCGGCAAGCGCCAGGTACGGGCCCTGCAACCTTGGTAACTTGCCGCCGTCTCCCGCTCTGGCCCAGTTGCTGTGCTCCTGGCTTCCCCGGCCAGCGCTGGCCGGAGTCCTCGCGCCGCGGTCAGACTGCAGCGCCCAGGCATCTCCCAGCGGCGGCGTTACTGGAAGGCACCGCTCCGCCGCTCTGCCGAGCCTCCCTCTCTCCTCCGCTTTCTGGAGCGCAGGCACTCGGCTAATCTTTCGCGAATGCTCGAGTCCCAGATAAACTGGGACTCGAGAGAAAGAGCAAGGTGGTTAAACTGTAAGAAGACTCCCGGGTCAGCCCTGGAATAAACCGGAGAAGGGCCGGGGAAGACGAGGACAAACTGAGGGTTTTAAAGACAATGTAACGCGACCTTGCTACGTTGTCAGGTGGGAGAGCGGGAGAGGGAATGGGGAGTCGCCGGTGCCCGGGGTCACGCCAGGTCGGAGCCTTGCGCGGAGCCACCACTCCCCGAACTTGCCACTTCTTCACGTGTTCTTGGCATGGCGGAGATTAAAGATGCAAGGGGGAAAAAATTACATGCGGAACGGACAGAATGTTCTCAAAGATGGGGGGGGGTAAAAAGTGAAATGCGGATTGTACTTTTTTTTTTCTTTAGTGCAGAGACGAATTTTATTTCCGCCCCCTCCCCTACACATTCCTGACCTCTCCCTCCCCCTTCCCTCTTTCTTTCCTTCCTTCCTCCGCTTCCAAGTTCTGGGATTTTGCAGCCTTGCTTGGCTTTGGCCAAAAGCACAAAAAAGGCGTTTTCGGAAGCGGCTCGGCGGTGCACAAGGGCCATTTGTTTGTTTTGGGTCTCGGGGCAGGAAATCTTGCCCGGCCTGAGTCACGGCGGCTCCTTCAAGGAAACGTCAGTGTTCTCCTGTCGCCCTCGCCCGCTGCGCGCCCGGCCGCCGCTGCCCATGGGGGAGATGCAGGGCGCGCTGACCAGGGCCCGGCTCGAGTCTCTGCTTCGGCCCCGCCACAAAAAGAGGGCCGAGGCGCAGAAACGCAGCGAGTCCTTCCTGCTGACTGGCCTGGGTAAGCGCCGCGCCTGCCACGCGGGGACCGTCCCGCTCCGCCGCTAGTCGCTCGGCTCCCGCGAGTAGGAGCCGGGCGGCGTGGCGGGGGGGGTGTCCAGTGGGGGTGGAGGGTGCGCTTTCGCAGGGTGAAGGAACTGAAGCCGGGAGAGAAGGCGGCGAAAGCGGGGGTCCCACCGGTTGTCCCGGACCCACGGTGACCCCGCAGATGAGGGCGCGCGGGGCCACCCTCGCCCGACGGACACCTCCGGCTGGTGGTGCACGGCCGCCGGGTGGGGGCTGATGAGGCTGCTGGGGAGTTAGGGGAGAGGGCCGGCTCCGGTACCGGGAGGAAATCGGCAGTCAGTGTTTGACTAACTTAAGCGGGCACAGAGCCACCCGCTGGCGGAGCACCGGGCGAAAAGCGCCCTGTGCCGCGACTCTGATTTCCTAGCTGGGCGGAATAAATGAGAAAGGTGGAAAATTACCCCGGACTCTCCCTGCCCCCGCCCCCTCCGCCTGCGGTTTCCTTCTCTCTGCCGGCGAGCGGAGAGAGGCAGATAACAGTCCCGCGTCGGGCCTCCCGGGCAGTCCCCGCGCCCGCCGCCCCCGCCCCGGGCTCGGCCTCCCGGGCAGTCCCCGCGCCCGCCGCCCCCGCCCCGGGCTCGCCCTCGGGCCGGGGTCCGAACCGCCCTCCACTGCCCGCCAAGGAGAAGCCTGCCTGGCGCCGCGGCCGCTGAAGGCGGGGCTTGGGGCGGGGACTGGGCGGGGCCTCTTCCGCATTGTCTCGTGGGCCCCGCCCCTGCGGCGGCTCAGGGCTTATAAAGCAGGCGGCGCGGCGCGCGGGCAGTGTTGGCTGAGCCGGTCTCCCGTCACCAACGACTCGCCGCGCTCTCTCTGCGGAGATGACGGTGAAAACCGAGGCTGCTAGGGGCACCCTCACTTACTCCAGAATGAGGGGAATGGTAGCAATTCTCATCGGTGAGTGTAGGAATTTTACTGAACTTCTAGGACACGCGAAGGGGACATGTTTTTAGGGTCGCGCATCAGATTAGTTTGTGTGGCGTCGGACGTTATGAAGGCATCTAGACATTTATTTATTTCTCATCTCTTAATTCACAGCTTTCATGAAACAGAGGAGGATGGGCCTGAACGACTTTATTCAGAAGATTGCCAGTAACTCCTATGCATGCAAACAGTAAGTTTTGGGGAGGATTGGGAGAAATAAAAATTAGTAGTAAAGTTTCATTTTACCAGCCCTAAAGACACATCTCATCAGAAGGTTGATCAGAAAGCTGAAACCCTCCCGGAGGTTGGGAACCCTTTTCTGTTTTAAGTCCCAATTGTAAACATTTTAAATGTTAAAACTAATGTGCTCATTTGGCCTGTCCTAGAGCTGAAAGATAAAGAGTTTCATGTTGGCTTAATTCACCCCCTGTTTACATGAAGAACAACCCTCATCCTTGTATTTAACTGGGTTTATTATTTTCTTTAACTGAGTTACTTCTTTGGGTGTTTTTAGTTGAAATGCTCCGAAGGGGCGGGGGAAGAGGCAATTGAGCCTGAAACTTACTACTGGTGTTAGTGTGCCCCCTCGTGTCGAGTTAAGGAAGTTCTAAGTTGTTTTTTTCTCTGCAGCCCTGAAGTTCAGTCCATTTTGAAAATCTCCCAACCTCAGGAGCCTGAGCTTATGAATGCCAACCCTTCTCCTCCAGTAAGTATTCTCTCTTTGTGATGCTTCTGTAGAGGAATCTTGTAAATGAGTCAGTTAGTATTCCTACATCAATGGATTACAATAGCATTTCTAGAAATTAGTATCAAGGCAGGAATGCCTAGTTAATGGCGTAACAAGTGACATAAGCAGTTATTTAACTATTGAGTCAGTGAAGTATTTTAAAAGGCCTATTGCCTAAAAGTCTTATCTGGGTACAACAATTGTGTACAATTTCCATACTCCCATACAGTAGTCTTGGTTGAGTCTGGGAGGGGTGGTGGTGACTTGCCTCAGTCATTTGCAGATGTAACACATTTTACATTGTCTGTCCTTTATCATTGTCTTCCTTTGAAGCAAGGTATTAAAAGAAAACATTTTCTTTTCCAGCCAAGCCCTTCTCAGCAAATCAACCTTGGCCCATCATCCAATCCTCACGCTAAACCATCTGACTTTCACTTCTTGAAAGTGATTGGAAAAGGCAGTTTTGGGAAGGTAATGTCAGATCTGAAGACCTCATGACTTACAGTCTTTCATGCATTCATTTTACATTCTCCCTGGGTGTAGATAGCAAAATGATTTTTTTTTTTAATTGAAATTCCAGGTTCTTCTAGCAAGACACAAAGCAGAAGAAGTATTCTATGCAGTCAAAGTTTTACAGAAGAAAGCCATCCTGAAAAAGAAGGAGGTATGGAATGCGCTGGATGGATGGGAGTTGGAGATAGACATTCATTGAATGGTTTTACCTTGGAATTCTGGTACCAAGTTGAAATTTGCCACTAAATCTTAATTGTCCTTTTTCTAGGAGAAGCATATTATGTCGGAACGGAATGTTCTGCTGAAGAATGTGAAACACCCTTTCCTGGTGGGCCTCCACTTCTCTTTTCAGACTGCTGACAAATTGTACTTTGTCCTTGACTACATCAACGGTGGAGAGGTGAGTGGCAGGAATATGAGCTAACCTTTGAGTGTCTGGGCACAGCATTCTTGGTTTTAGTTGGAGAGGAAAGTTTTTCAATGATAGGGGGGAAAAGTTACCAGAATTAGCCTTTCCTTCAACCTGAAGGTTGCAAATAGTTAATAGACTATTTAAGGCCGCTTCCTGCAATTGTCCCCTTTAGCTGTATATGTCGAGATTAATTAAATGCATTGTTATCAAGCCTTGGCAACCCAGCCTAACTTTGTTCTGTCTCCTGCAGCTGTTCTACCATCTCCAGAGGGAACGTTGCTTCCTGGAACCACGGGCTCGCTTCTATGCTGCTGAAATAGCCAGTGCCTTGGGTTACCTGCACTCTCTGAACATCGTTTATAGGTAAGCTAGAGAGCTCTCAAGGTTACCTTTCCGTGTAGAAAGGAGACTGAGCTCTAGCCTTCCGCAGAGCCTTAAAATAATTTGTATTTCTGTACAGCTCGGTCACCTAAAACCAGATCCTTCAGCATGGGAGCCGCCTTGACTCCATGCCACCAGGAACTAGCTGGCTAGGATTGTCCCTAATCCAGAATAGAGTAGCAGAACAAGGACTCCCTTTTTTTAATTCACTATACAGCTACAGTGAATTGAAAATGCTTCTAATAACCCAAGCTATTATTTTCACAGAGGCTTTCTTATGAAATGAAATTAACTTACACAACTTTTTTGGTTTTTTGCAGAGACTTAAAACCAGAGAATATTCTGCTGGATTCACAGGGACACATTGTCCTTACTGACTTTGGGCTCTGCAAGGAGAACATCGAACACAATGGCACGACATCCACCTTCTGTGGCACGCCCGAGGTAGGAACGCTGTCCATTTGGTGTCCTGTCTGCCCCTTCCTGGGAGAGCCAAGTGCAAAAATACTGAAACTACCAGAAGGGTGGGTTGTTCTCGGAGGTTTCTCAGTCCAGTTGAGTTCAAGGGAAATATGTGCTGTTTGATGCAGCATGAGAAATCCCAAGGCCTTATGTTGCGTTCATTAAGACCAGCTGTTTGCAAAAGCCATGTCATGAAAGGTTGGAAATTCCAAGTAAGCGATCCGTTGGGTGCCCAGTCACTTCTTAAATATCAGCACCCATACCTGGCCAGTCAGCCTCCCAAGTCCCGCAGTTTTATTGGGAAGTAATGTAAAGAAATGTATCCTGGAAGTGGGTCCAGGGTCTCAGCCCTTTCAAAGTGCAGGCCTGGTTGTGGGATTGCGCTGTTTCACAGTCTTCTAAACTCTGTCTTCTGGCTTTGTGTTTCAGTATCTCGCACCTGAGGTGCTCCACAAGCAACCTTATGACAGGACAGTGGACTGGTGGTGCCTGGGGGCCGTCTTATATGAGATGCTATATGGCCTGGTGAGTAGGTGCATTGAGAGCTATGGAATCTTCCTCCTGGTTTCATAAGTCCAGACTTACCTGGGCACCCAAGCCCCATTGCACATCTGGTCATTGTATTTTGCCCCTTTATCACTAAGCTTATCAGCATCTGATAAGAGAAGCCCATTGGTTATTTTATAAGTGTTTTAGAGTAAGCTCTTAGTGAATTTTTCTTTTGTAAATTCACCTTCCACCAGATATCTACTCCTTGATAAGGGTCCCAAAATAGTTTCAAAATCCAGGGCAAAGAATCTATTAAGGGAAAGGCTTTGTCAGATCTAGCTTAATCTAGTTGAAGACTTTTTCTCTGTTGGTGTGGTGCTTGCTGTACAAACCTTCCAACTGAGCATTTTCCCCCTTCTTTCAGCCTCCTTTCTACAGCCGCAACACAGCTGAGATGTACGACAACATTCTGAACAAGCCCCTCCAGCTGAAGCCAAATATTACCAACTCTGCCAGACACCTCCTGGAGGGCCTCCTGCAAAAGGACAGGACAAAGAGGCTGGGCGCCAAGGACGACTTTGTGAGTAACTTTTTCCTGTTCTCCTGGGCTCTCTGGGAAGCTGCCTGGACCCCACTGCCCTTCCTGAATTCCACCTGTCTAAATTCATCTGTTTCTTCTCCACAGATGGAGATTAAGAGTCATGTCTTCTTCTCCCTAATTAACTGGGATGATCTCATTAACAAGAAGATTACGCCCCCTTTTAACCCAAATGTGGTGAGTGTCTTTCTGAGTCTAGGAGGGTCCAAGGGGTGCTTCTTGAAATCAGGATTGGTGGTCGGGAGAAGAGGGCCTTCAAGGAAGACATTGGCAGATCTTTTATTCACAAATCATTATTTTACCTAGATAAAAGGTAGAATTTTTGTCCCACAAGCTAGCATAACCTTTCCACACATTCGTCGATTAAAGTACCAAAGGATAAAAAGGGAACACCCTCCTTGTCATGTAAACTTTGTGTGGCCTGTGGGCTTTGTGCCTGAAATGGAGGGTTACTATGGGAGTCTCCATATAGTACGCCAAAGACTGGAGTTCCAGTATTTAAAGCCCCAAAATGAGAATTTCCATGTCTTGTCTACACACAGAATTCTTGACACTGAGTGTCCTTTTTTTTTCTCCACCATAGAGTGGACCTAGCGACTTGCGGCACTTCGATCCTGAGTTCACCGAAGAGCCAGTCCCCAACTCCATCGGCAGGTCTCCCGACAGCATCCTTCTCACAGCCAGCGTTCAGGAGGCGGCCGAGGCCTTCCTGGGCTTCTCCTACGCCCCTCCCATGGACTCCTTCCTCTGAACAGTCCTCGAGGTTGGTCTTGAAGGATTTTATGTGTGTCCGTAAGCGTTTTTAGTTAGCCTCGTGGCGGAGCTGCCGGCTGACAGGACATCTTACAAGAGAATTTGCACATCTCTGGAAGCTTGCACATCTTGGCAATCTTATTGCACACTGTTTGCTGGAAGCTTTTTGAAGAGCACACCCTCCTCTCAGTGAGCTCATGAGGTTTTCATTTTTATTCTTCCTTCCAACATGGTGCTATCTCTGAGCATTGCGTGCCGCCTTGGACAGATGGCAGTAGTCTTAGTGGGTGACGCGGTTCTGAGAAGGGTTTTCGGAAGGGTCCGTCTGGGCCGTGATAACGAATCTTACGAAATGTGCCTTTTCCGATGAGATCGTGTTAGCTCCAAAGCTTTTCCTTTTGCAGAGTGTTTCAGTTCTTTATTTTTCCTTGTGGATTTCCTGTGTGAACAGTGGTATGAGTGTGGTATGCTTGATCCCAGACGGATTTCGTTCTAAGCCTCAATGTGACACTTGCAGGACACTACAATGTGGGACATTGTTCGTTTCTTCCATATTTGGAAGATAAATTTACGTGTAGACCGTTTGTTTTTTTTGTTGTTTTTTTTTTGTTTTTTTTTTTTTTGTAAGATACAGTTAATAACGAAAATTTATTGAAAATGGTCTTGCAATGACTTGTATCCAGATGCTTAAAGAAAGCATTGCTGCTACAAATATTTCTATTTTTAGAAAGGGTTTTTATGGACCAATGCCCCAGTTGTCGGTCAAAGCCTGGTATTTTTCATTGTTTAAAATGTCACCTGTAAAATGGGCATTATTTATGTTTTTCTTTCTTTCTTTTTTTTTTTGCATTCCTGATAATTGTATGTATTGTATAAAGAAAGTCTGTACATTGGGTTATAACACTAGTATATTTAAACTTACAGGCTTATTTGTAATGTAAACCACCATTTTAATGTACTGTAATTAACATGGTTATAATATGTACAATTCCTCCCCCCACCACCACACAACTTTTTTTGTGTGTGATAAACCAACTTTGGTTTGCAATAAAACCTTGAAAAATATTTATGCAAATTGTGTCATGTGTGTTATTTTGTATATCTCGGTTGGGATGGGGTGGGGGGGTAATCAAGGGTCCCTTTAAAATTTATAAACCTGGGAAATGCTGCTGTGCTTTACAGCTCAGTGGTTGGCCTCCAACAGTAGCTACTTCAGACTCCAGGGGGCATAGAGTGGTCTCAAAGCCAGTTTATCTTCCCAGGTCTTAGTATTTTATGATGTCAGTCATTCACAAATCCATCCAAACAAACCCGTTTAATGTACAAATCTGTTTCACAAGGACAGCCACAAAGCCAGGTTCCCTATGTTTATCACCTACCCTCTGAAGTTGGCTGTTGGTCCTGACGTTTGGCTTGCCTAAAGAACAGGTATTTCTTTTCAACAACTAATCTGAGTGCCTCCTCCGGGCCAAGCCCTGCCCTGAGTGCTGGGAATATAGCAGTGGGCAAAGCACACAGATCTCTGCCCTTAAGGAGCCTCATGGAAAAGGCAAACTTTTTAAATAAAGTAGCGTGTTAAAATGGAAAGGAAGATACTAGTCTGCCAGCAGAATGCCGCTGAAGAGGGTGGGGATGTTGGTCATAAAGGGAGACGTTCCCAAGAAGCTGACCTGGCAGGACTTTAGGTTTCTGAGAGCACCCAGAGCTGAACAGAGTGCGGGGCCAGCTCAGAGAGGGACCCCTGAGGAGCCAGTCCCTGGCTTAGCCCAGAAGCCTTTTGAGCTAAACCTGCTGCCCCTGGGTCTGGTGTGCAGAGGCCACTCATGGGACCCATCCCGCAGGAATATCTACTGAGGAAGAAGGGAAGATACTAAAGATATTAAGAGATCATCATTTTGAGTCCAAATTAATTGTACTTTCTCACTTTTCTAGGCCTTTCACACAAATTCCTGGCAAACAGGGAGTCCTCAAACAGCGGACTGCTGTTGCCTTTACCTCTAAGAGCTCCCGATTTGCTCAGGGATTCTCCCCAGGGAAGCTGTGACCTTCTCCCCCTTAATCCTGCTGCTTACATCTCACTTTCCACACACACACCCTCTCCCCCAACACATCTCCTTCCAGGGCTTCTAAGGGCTGGACAGGTATTTGGAGATGACTTCCTGCCAGCATTCCACTTAAGCAAGGGGATCGAAATGAGTCAATGACTTCTTGTTGAAGGTGGGCACCCCCCACCCCCGCATTTGAGATACTGTTGAACCTACAGGCACTAGCTATACATTAAATCCCCTCCCAGGCCCACACACCAAAGTCAACTGGAGTGACAAAGGGAATCTAAAGCCTGTATTTTCCTAATAAAGATTGATACCAGCTCTGACTGGGAGAATATTTGCCTGTCTTTCCTTCATTCTCATTATCAATAACAGTAACGCATTCCTTCTTGAACAAAGAGTGGCTTAAATCACATTTTTATCGGAACACAGGCTGGGCGTCTCCAAACTAATTATAGATAAGTCAGAGCAACTAGGTGTAGATGACAGAGCTTTTTTCCTTCTTTAGGGTAGAAATTTGGTTTATTGGCTTATAGTCCATCACTGTAGAAGATCTCATTGTACTGCTTGGGGAATTGATAAGAGCAGAGAAATCCCCGGGGTTGTCACACAAATAGGAGGAGATTAGATCAAACACAAGTGGGTGGGAAGGGAACAAGGCAAGAACAAGGAAGTCAAGAAAGAACAAGGGGTCAATTTAAAAAAAGCAAATATTTACCAAGTACTGTAATGTCAAGTCACATACATGGAGAAGTATCTTTTATCTACAAGAGTAAGTACATCCCTGCTAACATTTGAAACTGCATTTGAGCGTCGTGGTTGCAAAGGTGGACGGTACACTTTTCCATTGTTCTCTCCCCAAACAATGGGGTTGGGGAATGTATTGAGCTATGATCCCCACAAGTTAAAATGGGGCTTTGAAACCACTGCTACCATGAAGACTAAGTCAGTGACTTCGCTTAGGGCATTTGCCCATCTACTTGGGGAGATATGGCATCTACTGGTGGTGTCTGGCTGGTGCTGAATGAGGGATAAAGAGAACTTTAGTAGTCCAGAGGCTTCTGTGGCATCAGTTCCCTGGAGCAGGCTTCACAGAGGGCATGCCAAAGATTCTTACACCAACTGATTCTATTTGTAGGAACTCTAACTGGGTGCAGGCCCTGAGCATTGGAGAACACTAACAGCTAAGACTACGGGGATCTTACTATATGCCAGACAGTATTCAAAGCCCTGTCTAGTCTATTTAAATCTTCAAAACAACCCTGTGATGTCAAAAGTGAACAGACTAGCATAGGCAGGTAATTTGCTGATTAGTAAGTGGTGAAGTAAGAAGGTGAATCATGATGGCCCGTCCCCAAAGCCTGTGCTTGTGACCATTATGCTTTTCTGCCTAACGTGACAAAAAGCAGAGGAGCAAATGATTGTGTGTTTGTTAGCCATTCACTTATTATTTCATCTGACTTCTACTAAGATACCTTGCAGGTGTCATCCTACGCAGAGAGGGAGAAAGGGGGTGGGATTTACAATTATAATGTAGACACTGTTGGTTGTTGATGAAGATGAAGCACAGCTGGAAATAGACCTTGCCACGGGAGCAGAAATTAGCACAACCACTTCAGAAAACTGTGTGGCACTATTTACTAAAGATGATCATACATATAATTTATGACCTACTAGTTCCACTCCATGATTTATATGCACAAAGAATGTACATAGAGTCAATAAAAAATTTGCAGTAATGTTCATACTAGTACCATTCACATCAGCCCCAAATGAGAATGATTCAAAATGTCTACCAATAGTAAAATAAATTAGTATATGGCATGGAACATATATTGGAAAATATATAATGGAATACTATACTACAATGAAAATGAAGGAATAATCTGTACATACAACTACAGGGAGTAAATGTCACAGACATAGAAGCCAGACTTCATGATTTAACTTATATAAAAATCTGAAAGCAGACAAACAAAATGAATCTCTGTGGAAGTCCGGATATGACCACCTTTGGGGAGGGGAGGCGAGTGGGAATAATGATCAAGAGGGTCCAGGAAAGGGGTGGTCTTCTGCCTGCTGTTAATTTCTTGATATGGTTGGTGGTTTCAGGGAGTGGTTTTGCTGTTTGATATTTCATCAAGTTTTATGCTTATGTGCACTTGTCTCTGTGATGTATCAATAAAAATGTTTATTAAAAATTAGTATAATAAAAACAGGCTGTCATGGGAATACGGAGAAGCATCTTACTTACTTGGGGTCAGGGGTAAGTTTTCAGGTAGTTTAGGCCAGAGATGCTTAGGGAGATCTGGAGTGTTCAGATAGGTTGTATTGAGAACTGAAGCTTGGAAGTGAGGCAGAAAGAGGGACATTTCCGGTGCTGGTTGGTAGAGGTCAGGGAGAGAGGGGGCAGCTTTCATAAGCACAGTAGATGGGATATTGAGAAAAGGAAGGGTGTCAGAGAGACTTAATTTCAAATTCCAGCTCTACTGATCAGCTTTCCAGCTTTTGACAAGTGGTAACTCTCTCCTAACCTACCTCTTCACAGTTATCTGTGAGACAAAGCCGGAAGGAATTGGAATTCAAAGAACGCAAATTAATTTCTTCTTTCTCAAATCATTACATTTCTCAATTTCCTCTCCTCTTCACTGGAGTATAGGAGAAAAGGATATTAAAAAACAGTGAGGAATCATTTTGAATAGAGAGATGGACCTTGTCACTGCTGTTTCTGAAAGTCTCACAGAGAAGTTTAGAATGCGTAAAGTAGCAACAGGAAGCATTTGAAGGCTCTCCCCAAAGAAAGGAGAGTGATTGGAAGGAGCGCTCTGGTGACACTTGCCAAGAGCTGGGAGTGTGTGGAGGCTTCTCAATTAAAAGAAGAAGAAATAAGGGAGCCAACTAGGAGACTTCTAACAGTCATCCAATTGGTGGTGACAAGGAAAAGATAAAGAGATGTTTTGAAGACCCCCAAATCAATGGAGTTTAATGAGTCATTGGGAATGGAGGAAGAAATATTAATCCAAAACAAGACACATTTAATGTAGTTTGTTTCAATAAGGTAATGGACTTATTGAAGTGGCTGTCATAGCTGCAATAATAACATCTACAACAAAGGTCACCCATTAGTTTCTTCATAGTCCCCAAGACATAAGGAATCACATGATCAACAAGCATAATTACCATGGCAAGACATTACACACTGAAGCCAATCTGTACCCTATCCTGTTAAGAAATTTCTTGCCTCATCCATCAAAAAGCCTCTAAGGTCCTATTCCATATGCCTCAAGCCTTGTCTTAAGAGCAAAATGATGTTAAAGTTGACCTGGTGTTAAGCAGAACAACACTTCCGGGTGGCTCAGTGGGTTAAAGCCTCTGCCTTCAGCTTGGGTCATGATCCCAGGGTCCTGGGATCAAGCCCCAAATCAGGCTCTCTGCTCAGCAGGGAGCCTGCTTCCCCCTCTCTTCTCTGCCTGCCTCTCTGCCTACTTGTGATCTGTCTGTCAAATAAATTTAAAAAAAAATTCTTAAAATATATATATATATATATATTCATCTAAATT